ATTACCCAAGTTCTTTACGGGGTTCGTAAAGAGCAGGTAACAATCGGCATCAGGAGAAGGACCTACCTCCTGCACTTTCACCTCCTCTTCTTCATTCAAATCCTGAAAACAATGATAACGTTCAGCGACGGCAGATAAACGAAAAGGCAATTTTTAAATCTACTTTTTCAGAAACCACTGCTTCTTTCATCGAATTGTCCCCTTCTTCTTCAACGCGAACATCATCGCCATACTGGTCCGCATTCGGGGCATTCTGCGACAGTGCGATTCGACCTATATCAAAAATACGACCACTACAGTCAAAACACAAGGCTAACACATAAATACACAATAAACAAAATCCTCTATTCAGTAAGCAGATGATATGCTACACCATTTATTTTTTTCATCTTGTTCTTGGACAGCCATTAACTTTAACTAGATGATCAACTCTAAACTAAATCACTTGCGGATGTGGTCAATCTATGGATCACCCTATCCATTCCTTATGTTGAAGAAAGAGACTGAAGAAACAAGATCCAACAATCTCAATTCTTGGTCAATCAAATTCTGAAACGTCCAACGCTTAGAAAAATTTTAATGCGCAGTTGCAGCATCTAACTTCTAATCCTGTCTAGATAGAACGAATTTACATGACAAGAATCCAGGTTTCCATCCAATCATTTATTAGACGCGCTATAAGAATATAAGTTAATATAACAAGTAGTAAAATGAGACATTTTCCAATTAACATAAAGGAAAACCACATATACTTTTTATACACTGTAACTAATGCCTTCTCTCACGCTTCATGAAGCATTTTAGATTAATTAAGCAGTGTAAGGTTGCCCAAGCGGAAAAAGTTGTTTGATGTAATTGGCACTGTAAGTGCTCAAATGCAGATGCAGCTGTGGCGCGCTTAAATGCCCATCCACCCTCCCCCTCCCGGCAAGAAAATTAGAAGCAAAGTAGTTTTGAAATATGACGTTTTAGAAGTTAAACGCGATTAAATGATTCATATTCATCTATTATTATTCATTAACATAAACCGCAGATACAGGTTTGGATTGTACTGTCAGACACATGGAACACTTTCGCAGTGTGTTGAGATTGGCTGAGTTCAGATGATCGACATGCCTATATTCTCAAGAGTTCACACCTTTCAAAATAGGTCAAAAAGTGGTTTTTTATTTTTAAAAGCCTTGATTGTTGCAAACTCTCTAACACTCTGTCAGTTCTATTTTTACACATCAAAAGACAGTTTAAAATAAATTCGTTATTAAAAGAATCAGGTAACTCTGTGAAAATTATTGCAAATGTTACAAACAGGTGGTGAACTAGCAAAATTGAGAACTGGCCAAAACAGAGACGCAAACATTTAGCTAATTCAATTTCTAAAGCAACTTCGAAATGACATTTAACAATTTGTCAATATAAAGAGAAAATCACCATAAAACACTCTGCTGTACTCAGAGTTAGCAAAGTTCATTCCTTAATAATTTGCGTTATCAGTTCAGCTGAAATGTTAGATCAGCGCTACACAACAAAGAACTTAGCTTGACTTTAGTGCGGCTTAACATTCATTCAGAAGATGTATTCCTTACATTTATTAGTAATTTATTGACTAATTTTATTAATTAATTAACAGGTGAACATGTAGTGGTGAACATTTCGAAATCGTATTTTGTTACGCAGACAACCGCGACATCCAAATATTTATACTAAAAAATACCAAAATAACTTAACAACGTACCACATAACAGGACAACCAACATAAGAACGAAACTTGGACTTTGGATCTGCTGCATGTCGGTCTGGCTGCGTTATATTAGACGTAGAACTACAAATATAAATATATGAGCAATTCGGTCATAATAAAAAATATGAAATTATTTAAGGTACATTTTAGCAGGTACGAAAATTTAAAATTTATAGATGGTTCAGTCCTTGCAATGAAGTTTAAATAATGATACCAAAACATGATATCTCATCACTCACGACATTTTGAGAAGAAACTAGAGACTGTACAACCGCCTATTTTTACGTATTGTGGAATTAATAACAGCTTAAAGTTATGACCGCACAGACTGAATTGCACAGAGGAGGGACGGCGGAAAGAAAACGAATATACCTCTTCCAACTTCGGTGGCACTACTCAGAGACCAATTCTCGCAACAATGATTTATGATGGTCCTAGAAGAGTTTAAGAAAAAATGAAAACAAGACCACACTGGGGGAGAGAAAAGAATGAAAAAGGGAACAGTATAAAAAATACAAAAGAAATTAAAATACAGAAAAAAAAGAAAAAAGCTAAGCGGAAAAGTCCTGAATAATCGTGCCACGCTTGCTACATATTTAAACGTGGTGGCACCTGGGTAGTGCAGTGAAGAGGTCCACTTCGAACAACAGAGCTACCGGGATCTACATCCAGAAAAAGGTCAAGATCTGGCTAAGAGTCAATTCTACTGATTAATGAATTCACCTCAGGTTATTTTGGCGTAATAAAACGGCTAATAGTATGATGTCGTGGCGTAGTCGTGTCAGAATGAGCGAGATGCTATTCGAGAGCATCTTTTCTTGCCGCACTTCGACCTGACCAATATGATAGCTGATCGTACGGGGTGATGACCAGCATATGACATGCAACCCCCTAACTCTCGCCCCCCCCCCCAAAGCGGAAGCTTCACGCTTTAAGTCCATGTCTCAGCGACATTCCTAACATAATTCAAAGTTGCCGCGCGATAAATTTCATCCAGTCGCAAAATTTTTATCGCATTTTGCTCAGACAAACTTGAGATCTTTGGTTTACCTCCTTCCGTTATATCCCCCTACTGGAAATCAGTTTCTTTGGAATTAACGTTCCTCACCCGCTGAGGCTTGCGTTGCGTTCCAGCGATACGACAAGTAAATAAGAGGGAAATAACAAAATTCCAACTTCCTCCGAGGGGTTTCGTATCCAACCAAAATCTGGTAAACTCAAGATAACATTTTCGAGCAAAACGTCATTTCTTTACTTCACTGGGACAAGATTACATGCTCCCTTCTGGTTAAGAAAATATTTAGCTTCTAGATATTAGGGGAACGGAATTGTATAGATGCCCGAGCAGATTCAAACAAAAGATCTGCAGTTTTGTATGTCAAACTCTTTAGTTAACCACTTGAAAGCTATAAATAAACTGTATGATAGTCTTTGCTCGAAAAACCTTCACGAAAAATTAATTATGCCAAATGACGATTGCGTGTGGAATAATGCTTTTACGCAACGCAATGCCTAAGACCTCCAAAAAAAATTTACATGTAGAAGGACTTCCGCTCATTTTATAGAACAAGCAAATTCTTACGCTAAGATCCGCTAAAAGGACACCACGGCGAATTTAAAAAAAAACGACTGAAGCGGGAAGCAACCTTTGTTTTCATGTAGTGAAAGCGAAACAGTTTGCAGAACAGCTGGTAACACGTCTCACGCTTTCTTTCATATGACATTTTGAACAGGATGAAAGAAACAATATTCTAATCAGTCAAAATATTTTACTGTATGAATGGAATTTCAAATAGACATTATTTTCAAACAAAACAAAAAAGCGGGGTGGCATATGTGTTGCACCTTTGACTCAGCAATCGACGATGAGGTAGGTGATGTGCCAAAACGCATACAAGAATACTGATTTTATTTTACTGTCTAGCCGAATTAGCCCCAAGAAGGCATCTTTCACCTGATGAAAGTAGAAGGTATATTAAGGATAGTAATAACAAAGAAAAAAAGAAATTTGTAATGTTGGTCTTCCTTCACTTTGAAAGCCACTTTGACGCCATTCGTTTCATGAAGATGATGGTGAGATGCTGATCTCCGTTTTTATTTCATCAGCCAAAAGCATCTTTTTTGAAGTAGAAAGCGTAGCATATAGCTTGATGTTTCTTGCCCACAGAGCGGTATTAGTTTATTAGCCTTGGAAGAAAGAAAGGTGAGCGAACTGACCAGGGTTTTAACTCAGGACCCATTGGTTCTGAGCAACTCTATTCGGAAGCAATATGCAGTAAAGTCGGTCGTTGCTCAAGGAAATTCGTCAATAAGACAAAGATTGCCTATAAGCGGAATCGAATAGGGCACATCCTGAGTTCGAAGCAGACCTATAAGACAAGCCCGCCAACACGCCACTATAATAGACAAAGAGACGAATTATCGAATATATCGAAATGCAACCCGATTTATCTCTTGAAGATGATCATCACTCGGATCACTTGCAGAGACAGGTAAATGGTAGCGAATCGCTCCGATCGCCATCCTCTCTTCCTCATGTTTTCAAACTTTATGTCTTCCGAGCAAAGCGTGGACTTCCCGCCTCCTGAAATAATCTTCCCATCGTCGTGTATGACGACCCAGCGGCCTTATCCTCCACAAAAGTACCATTCGACGATCATCACCTGTTGATGAACCGATCTGTGGATCAGGCATACCGCAGTTTCCCTTTTGTACTTCCACGACGACTTTTACTTCTCTTCCATGAAGAAGATTATATTTTTCGGAATGTCACATGAGGTGAATAACGAATAAAACGAATAATTCTTGGGTACAAAAACTGTTCAATTTAAACCACATTTATACTAATCGCATCAAGAACCGTGTATTAAAATGGATAATTTCAAGTAATGATGTGATTATGGCTGCTGGCTTCCAGTCTAAACCTTAATTTGGAACTAAAACACTCAAACATCAACCATTACCGGATCGACAGTCGCTGAATAGTGAACTAATTTTATTAGAGTGGGATAATATTCCAATTTTATGTGTTGAAGTTCATTGGAAGCTTGTCAGCTGTGAGGCAATAATACGCAGTTCCACAGGGTGGCCATGGGGTCGAAGACCAACCTTAGAAAATGCTGAGATATGCCGCCAGGACACACACGTTATATGGCAACGTCGAATTACTTCCTACGTAAAATATGAAAATGTACATCAAATGCTGTTATTGACGTTTCAACCGTTTATAACTAAGATACTCTGTTCCGACAATTCTACAGCTATTTCAGTCCATACCGGTATGCAGCTCAACCGGACAAAGATTCCGGGGAAGACTAAGAACCATTTGGAGCAAGTAGCTCGTTAGACTCTACTCCAGAGTATGGCCATATTTTGAAAAAGGTTACACAATGACACAGGGTCGAGAATGGAAGTATAGAATGACGATACTGCCTCCACGACCCTAAAACATAAGCGGTCGTCCAAACTAAGCACATCGTGCTTCAGAAAGCAGTCCATACATAAATACATAAAAATAGTCCTTAATGGGACTGAATCATACCAGAACAACAAATTACCGGTCAATTTGTAACCAGAGCAAAATGAACATTTCCACATGTCCTGATAGTCGCAATTTCCAATTTAAACATCCAGCAAGAAGTAAAAGTATAAGGTAAGTTTTGTTTCGTTCAGTTTGTCAGGGTACAATCTAAATAAACAAAACTAAGCTGAATACTCAGCATAATTCAATATGGCTAGAAATATTTAATAATTTCTCAAGCAACTCATAATCCTCCTAACCTTGACAGACAAGCAGGGCAAACATTCATGAAGTAAGGTTCTTACGTGAAAGCCGAAATGCTGCACTTTTCAATGACTGAAAGATTTAGGACAGATTAAAAGTCGAAAAGCACACCTCAATCACCATGTTTCGCGGCTGATGTTGCAAACCAGACACGACTACAAATCAACTAAGAGTAATCACAGACTGCTAGAACTGTAACCTGATGATCTAACTTTTGTAATGTGTGTTGCAAGTTCAATAATTGCGTCTTCAGTTCAAAAAACGTCGTGGCGTACATGAATAACGATAAGTGGAAGCAATTAATTTGAATTATTTAATCTCTGTGCCAAATTATCAACTAAAAAATTTTTATCCATCGTTATTACGTCCTGATTAAATATTCACGAATAGAAATTGAAGGACAATTACATAATCAGAGTTGACTGACAGATCTGTGTCCTCTCCGAGGCTCAGTTTATACAACTGTAATATCG